GTGGGGTGCCACCCGGCCTCCACAGCAGCTACCACGGCGGCTGGCCCCCGGCTACTGCCCCGTCCCCAGCACGCTCCGAGAGTCTCTCGGGAGCCTGCTGCCACCCAAAGGGGACGCGGTGCTGCCGAGCTCTCTGCTCCCTCTGCGGGACGGCTCGGCCAGCTGAACCCACGTCTTCCTAGAGAGATTCCTGGCCCCCCTTTCACACATCAGTATCACGCGCATACGATGCAGGAGGCTGCTCGCCTTGCTGCCTTCATCCTTCCTTCCAGGGTGGCAACCAAAAAAAGATATATTGCTCTCAGTGCAATTCCCCCCCCCCCCATTTTTCCTTTTTTTTGTTTTTTTTCTTGGACAACTTCACTCTGATTACTAACAGCAGAAAGAGCACGTTCCTTCTTATTTTTAGCTAAGACTATATTGATTTTCAAAACTTTTATAAGCTAAAAAACCAAGCGGCAGATAACGTGTGCTCCTAACAGAATCATGCCAATGTAGTTCCACCAGTAGCAGAGAACTTCCTCTATCTCAAGCCTGGGACACTGGGGAACATCAGGTTCACAATCAATCTTGCAAACGAAGGTTCGTTAACACTTCGACAGTTGGAATACTTGTTAATTTACAGATAGGGTTGGGTTTTTTTTTTAAATTTTATTTTTTAAAGGAAACATCCTAATGACAAATATCTACTTTTAATTTTTTGTCTTTAAATTTGTGGTTTAACCTACTGTTACCTTACAAATTTTCATGACATAAGTAGCAAATAAGCACAAATCTTTATGCATCTTCCCATGAGCCATTTTTTGTCCTAAATAAGCTATCCAGCAATATATTGTAGTTGGAAAAAAACACTACATGCACAATGCATACAAATCAAACACTAGGTCTGTAAAATAAGCTTTAAGTAAAAAAAACATGGTTAGTGCAAAGTCCTGAAACTCATGACATGATCACAGACTAAAGTACAGAAAAGATGGGACTGATTCAGGCAGATTAATTTGCTTTTGCCAACAATCCTCCCCATTCAAAAACACACACAAAAAAATTACTTGTCTTTTTCAAGTAAAAGTGCAAAAGCTACAAGAGACAATGAGAATGAATTTACAAATAAAATATGGGGTTATGGAAAAAGAAAAGCATGACCGCAATTAAGGAAAAGCTACTGGTTCCTACTTACAAGATTTATAAGAAAGAAGAATTTGGATAAAAGATGCTGCAAGATAATAGAAATAAAATGGAAACAAATCAAAGGACAGCAGTAGTTATAAAATACTTTTAAGATGGTGAAATCGTAATATAAGTTAAGAAGCTTTTAGCTTTTTTAAAAAATAGATTAAAAGCTTTATGATATAGCAAGCTCGTTAAACACACAGAAAATTGGCATTCAGGTCCAAAATTATGGTTTTGAAAGTACCATGCAAAACAATGAACAAAAAGTTACAAAATACTAATAAGATTTAGAGCTGTTCATATCAACGTACATCAGTTCTTTAAGTGGATGTATTAACCCTTCCCAGCTCACGTACATTCCCTACGTTGCGCTGCGTAAGGAGCCTACGCCAGGCTGTCCTACGGCTTCTGTGACTTGGGGCGCGTCTTGTAGGGAGCGGGTAACTTACCTGCAGGCTCCTCGCAGCGATACCCCTGCTTCCGAGCCGGGAGCTCCCGACCGTATCACAGCTCCGTCCTCCCTAACCCAAGCTGCTAACAACCCTTAACAGCAGCCAGCACACCTGGGCATGCCTCCCCTGGCCACCAGCCCAATCAATAATTTCCAAAGCAAAACCAAAAGGCAGAACGCTACCAGAAACATCAACATCTCAGAAACAATCTCCAGAGAAGGAGGAGAAGACAGACACCAGTAGCGGGGCACCGGGAGAGAACGCCACCACCTCGTAAGAGCTGCTGCTTTGAACGTGCAGGGTCAGATCAAGACCTGTGGCCAAGCCAGCAACGCCCAAGATGTCCCTAATCAGGGCTTCTTACGGTTTGCTCCTAGACCCCCAGAGCCATTCTGTGGGGCATTACTATTAATGACAGTAGGGCCAGAAGAGATGAGGGTGAAACGATACCTCAAGACTCCCCCGCTGCCAACAGCACCTGGGCGATAGCTTCCAACCCAAAGCGTTCTGTGATTCTACGATGGCAGCAACCCTCCGGAGTGAGGCTCCTTCAGCTGCTATAAACCACACGGCTGGCAGGCTTGTGGCTGACTTCTTCAGGTGCAAGGATTAAGAATGAGCCCAGATTGGAAGATTCAGTTGCTGAAATGCCGGCACAAGTTATTCGTGAGTTTCTCCCAGTTCTCACAAGTTGCTGATGACAGCGACCAGCAGCAGCGCGCACCGTATGGCCAAGCCTCTCTAACTGGAACTCATCCTGCCAAGGGAATTACGCTCGGCACACGTACACACGCCCCAGGGCTGTCATATTCAGGGTTAACTTCATAAAGGCTTCACAGCGAATTTCTTATGAAGGAGTTCTCAAGTACCAATCACAGGAGCTATTTATGCCACACTAACAGCTAAATAAATACCATGCAGCCATCTAATTCCAAAGACTACACCAGCAGGATCCAGCTCCTTCCAAACCAACTACGCGTTTTCAAACAGATCATTTTTCTTCTCTTGCCACAATACAGAGTAACGTTCATTAGTTGCCTGCTACAAAGCCATAAAGCTTCACCATCACGGTCTCCGTGCGGAAACTAAAACCCAATACAGGACACCTAAGGCAAAAAAGCATTACACCAACAATGGCAAAAATTGCCGTTTTGCTTCAGAATCCAAACTCCACCACAAGGCTATCTTGAAGGACGGGGCTCAAAGAGCAAACTGGAAGACTGCTTTCCAGGTGACAAACTCCACCAGTACTCAGCCGTATACAGATGGCCTCCAGCTAATCTTGTGGGAGGGAACAATTCTCTCTTCCCAAAGAGAGAGAGACAAAGCCACAGTAACCACAAACATGAAATACATACAATTATCCTGAATCGTGCAAGGGTTGGTACAAAAAGTTTACCGATTAAGATGACAGAAAATTGAACAACAGTGGTGCAGCAGTTCTATTCACAGAACCAGAGAAGAGCGGAGGCTGGAGGGGACCTCTGGAGATGATATAGTCAGCACTTCCCCCCCACCCCCACAAAGCAGGGTCAAGCAGAGCAAGCTCAGTTACCCTTCCACCCATCCAGATATTTTTTCAGCTCAGAACCTACAAAAAGCTGCACATTTTTTTCCACCACAGTCATTTTTCTTGACTGCCTTTCTGGAGGTTAAAGAGTTCAAGAAGAAAGATATGTGAGGCTCCAGGACAAGGAGAAAAGCAAGGGTAGACAGGTACTCATTCACATCGGCCTTGATCAACTGCTCTTTACTTCCTCGAGCTCATCAGAAAGACCTGTGTTGTAAGATGGGAGAAGGATGACGTGCTATGCCAGTCCATGTGAATCAGCAGGGTTTGCTTAAAAGAACCAGACTAAATTCTGAACTAGAACTTGAGACTGCAGCTCATCCACAGGGTTACTTGTTAGGCACTCGCACCTAGCGCACGAATGTATCTTTAGAAATCATGTCATACGGGTTCTCCTTGAGAATGTGTCACATGACAGAAGAGGAATAAGAAAATGCAGTGTTCCAGAAAGGTGCCCCAGGGCAGGGGATCTCTCTGCAGGACCAAGGACCAATCTGTATCAAGCTATTTCACCTCTTTCTTTTTCAAAGTGGACCTCAGTCCTCCAGCCAGCAATGAAGCGGAGAATCATATCAGAGAGCTACGAGAGAAGAAATTCTTAACTGCATGGCATTGAAACAAACTGAACAGTAGAAGGGTTTAAAGCTGTTGAGATCTTACACAGCTGCAGCCCCAGACCTAAAAGGAAAGTAGTGCATGTGGGCCACTGGAAGACAATACGACACAGCAAAGCTGATTTTAAGTGCAGACACTTACCAATCATAAAATATTTAAAGCATCCATAAAAATAGCAGTGCTTCCTGAAGCTAATGCAAGATTATCAACAGGAGTGTCAAACATGGAAAGGATGTTCAAGCCAGTGTCAAAAGCGTTAACTGTACCAGGCTATGGAGGATAGCAGATGGACCACGATATACAGGTATATAGCCAACCTGCAGCCAAAAAGAAGTCTTGTGACCAGCAGACTTATTTTTGTCCTCTTTCCTAAGGGGAGAGATTGTGGCAGCTCACTGTCCCTTCTCTGCTGCCCTCTTTCTCCGAGCCACATCCGCACCGGGCAGCACGAGCAGAGGCCGGTGGCGGGGCACAAGGTGCAGGTCTGATAATTGCTGATGGGCCCCACTCGTGCCACGGAGGGGGAGCACAGCACCCAACCCTCCCGGCCCACCTCATCAGTCCAGCACAGCACCTCCTGCCTCACACTGTTCGAGGAGGAAAAGACTTCACCTGGAGATTAGACTCACAGAACAGAAGCTTTTCAATTTGGACTTAAACCTGATTTAAATGACACTGATGCTTCAAGTCAAGACACTGCAGGAGCCTAGCCCTTTACAAGTCTTGCTACATTTTCCCACCTAAAGCAGAGGCTGAGCAAAAGGATTTATCCAAAAGGATAAATCAGGCAATCCGGCTTTGGTGCCTCTCTACAAAGCTTCAGCAGTATGGGTCCATCTTCAGTTGGCTCTTGTCCGACAGCCTGGCACAGCATTGCTGTGACCAGCACCCTACACAGCGGTACCAACACTCAAGGCATTCCAGAAGGGCAGCAAACACTTGACTAAATTCCCTAAGTTAATCCTGTCTTCCAAATCACTAGAAAAGCAGGACATAACACAGCCAGTTTTCTAGGTCTGCACCAACGTAATTCTCTCAGATCCACTGCTGCTAACAAACAGCAGAGCACGTGACACGCAAAGAGGTCTCACTACGGACAGCTCTGAAGAGGAACAGAATCGAGCAATTTCCAAGTAGTTGTTTCTAGTTTTCAGGAAGGTAGTAAGTCCCTCTGTAAGGCTAGCAATATGACAATTTTCTGACTGCTGTTAGGTGACTTAAGACAATGCATATATGAATAGAAGGCCCTGGAACCCCTTCAAGGGAGTCAATCATTTTGATTTTGGATGACTGTGTACTTCTGCTAGAACCACACCACCTCTGTTTACAGCTGACACTGTTGCATAAGCAGCATCTCAGCTGACATCCTTTTCCATGTTAACCACTTGATTAAAATTGCTCAAGATACAGGTTACGTCAAAATTAAAATGATCCAATCAATCTGAAAAGCATTAAATACTGAAACACATTAGCTGCATATGCAACCAAACACAACCTCAAATTATGCCTTACTCCTTCCTAAGCTCAGCTATTTCCCTAGCAATGTCTCGTGGACCTTTTACAGAGGGACTTGAACCTCCTACCACAGAAATCCATGACTGAACACTTTCAAAAACCTTGTGCTGCATACCCAAAAATACCTTTAAGAGATCCTAAATCCTAAACCCGTCGCCTCCACGCAGGCATTTGTGACACAAACAAGGAAGCTCATCGGTTTATCTGCTGCTGTCAAGTCCCTCTATAAACCCAACTTGCTACAACAAACCTCTTCCTCCTATTTTTCTTACTTCGGCCAGCGAGCTCATGATAGATAGATCTCTTGGAAGACTTTAGCAGACATTCAAAATACTACATGAAGAACAGGAAAAATGCAAGGAGTGAGAAAGTTTATTTTTTTCTGAATATTACCACCAAAAGGAGTAAGACTGCTAAAAAGCCTCTCTGAGCAGAGCACCAATTCTGCTATCATGTGTCAAAACATCCAACCTCTAAAGCTGAGCAAAGCATAGGAGACAAAATAAATCTACCAGTTAAGTACTGAAGACAACCAAGGTATCAAGCCATATATGGAAACACATAGCAACCGTCACCGAAAGGCAGCAACTTCACTTGCTATTTTAAGGACTTCTGTTTTCATAACACTCCAAAAACAAGGAGAAGTACCACTTTGCGCAGTATCTGGAGTGATGTTTGACAATTTTTCAAACATTACAGAGTGACTATAAAAAGTTGCTATTACTCAGAGAGATACTCAAGCAGATTTCAAATTAGGAAGTGGGCTCTTACCACATTATTTCCTTCACTTAATAAAATTTTCCCCACTAGCATAATTGGGAGTGCCATGCTTGTTAGAGCAAGGGAGTGTTTAATAGTAAAACAAATTTTTTTTTTTTTAAAATTTTTAAGCCCCCAAACACCTGCTCAGCTAATAACAGGTGCTGGCTCAGCTGGGAGGGGTTAACCACAACACAGCACTTCAGATTTATTTTTTTTTTTGATTATGCATATGTTAATCTTGCAGGTAGGAAATGTCAATAAAACAAGGAAAAAAGTGTACATGTATTTTTCAGTAATATTTACCAGTCATGCTGCTGTCCCTGTTTATTCCGTTGTGAAGTTTACAGTGAACAAACGCTGCATCAAATAACCACGATCCAAAGAGGTTCAAGATGCTGTTAACCTTTGGCCTGCGAGGAGCTGGTAGTGGCCGTGGCTCAGAACTTGTCTGGTTTGGGCTAGAGAGTGGAGAAGTAGAGGAGGGTTGGTGCTGCACTTTTGAAGTATGTGCAGTAGTTACCTATTTGAACAGAAGAACACATCAGCTCCTAGAAGCAAGGAAATTACTTCCTCCAGCTGAGGAAACTGCCAAAAGGGTCAGCTACTTAAATACAGAATATGAAATCTTACAGTGCTGGTTTTCATTGTTGCTTTATTCACAGTCACTGCCCGATGCCTTCGGTTATGGGGCGGAGTGGTGTTGATCGCGGTGTTCTGCGGCATGCTCAGCCTATTTACTGGCGTGGGTGGTGCGCTATCTGACCGGGGTCGTGAAATGCCTGTAGATCAAGAAATAAAGCAAGCTTTCAGCAAGAATTCCACAGGCCCATACACAGCAGCCCAGTTAGTAAGCATTTGGGCCTTCTGTAAACACACTAGCTTTCCTCCCTGCCCCAAAAAACAGCAGCAGTAAGAAAAACATCTTTCCCCTATTACTATTAGCAGAAAAAAAACGCACAAGCAACTGAAACCCCTGCTTGCATTAGATAAGCAAATGATTAAAAAGCACTGAAGAACCCCATCCCTTAAGAACACGGAAAATGGCACGCAGGAGGACCAGTTCTAGGAGCAGGCAGAGGGAGAGGGGCAAGGTTCATTTGCCAAAGCCCATTTAACAGCTCACTGCTGCCAAATTCAGATGCCTCTCACCTTTGCCTTTCTTTCCCAGCCATACCTCCCACACTCCATTCTGAGACGGCTCTAAAACATCTCACCCTTCAAAGCCAACTTTGCTCACTAAATGAAGATGAAACCCGTCTACCATGCAGTTTTCTGCTGGTTTTGTGAGCTGAATCAGCTTGCTGAACAGTCAAATACTACGCCAGTACAAGAGATGGGGTAAGAAAGCAGAGCAAGCTATAATTTTTCTGGCAGCAGCAGGACTTTAGATCAGTCTTTAGTCAGCTTCAGGGAAACATTTGCGGTGTATAAAATTACTCTTCCCAGTCAGAATCAGAAGTAACCAGCCCTCTGCAAAACCTGAAGTGAGAAACCCCACTTCTTCCCATTTTAATGAATACCACCATCCTCACACCCCATTTGAAAAGTTAGTGTGGAATTGCAGTGTGCTTGAAGATTTGACACGGATTTTTTTTGACCATGTTAATTAAAGCACACAAGTACTCTTCATAACACGAAGTCCTGCTAAACCATTAGTGTTACACCCCATGCAGAGGGCAGAGCATGCACTATGAAATGTATTGTTTTGGTACACTGTTTTGGAAGAGAGGATGCAGGATTTTGCCAAGTGTACACATCATGTAAGTAGATATTGGGGAGGGCGAGATAAAAGCCATGTGCTTTAGCACTTGGGGCAGAAAGCGATGAGATCTCCCATTAGCCTTAGCTGAAGAGGCCCATACTGCAGCTCTAAAGTCTGCCTGACTTGTTTGACAGAGCAACAAGGTTGTTTTCATAAGGTTAGGCCATATATTGCCTATATACAATCCTCCTTTAACAAATTATGGTGTCATTTGACAGACTACTGAATATTTTAAATCTCACATCTGGTGTTAATAAAAAGCAATGATTAAAATTCCTTAAAATTGGTGGCAAGACATCTGAAAGAACACAGTAGACACAACAGGTTTCAAGATTCAATATCACAGCTTAAGAAAGATGACCACTTGCTCTTACATCACTTAACTTTTTAGACAAAACTATTTCTACAAAAGTGAAATCTACAGTGACAAAAACTTGCTTACAGTGGAGAATACAGTACCAATAAACCTTTTCCTTGCAATATTTTCACAGAAACACAGAATATATTTCTAGTAAAAAGGATCTTATAATTCAGTGAGATGGGAGGATCTTGAGGTGCTTTGCTTAAAAGAACTAAACCATTGAGGTTTTTCTAAAGACAAACAACATGTAAAAGCTGACAGTCTAATTCCACAGCCAATTTTTTTTTTTTCTGAACACAGTTTACATATCTGCTTAAGTCTTCTGCAGTCTCACATCAGCTCACGCTTCTGGCAGATGACAACATTTGTTTGCATAAGTTCAAGGAAAAAGGTAGTAGGAGACAGGCAGCTCTTCAGAGTTTACAATAGCACATTATCTCTGAAGAATTCTTAATAAGCCTGAAGCACACTAAGAATAATGCCTTACATTAAAGGTGCTATATAGCATTACTCAAAACTTACCAGCCAGCACTTACATCTGCTTTACCTTTCAGTCAAATTTGAGCTACTCAGTTACCAGTAGACACAAAGAAACACAGCTTTTCTTCTCAGCAGTACTAGTTGCCCACTAATAGTAAACTGAAATTGGCATTTGTAGTAGAAAGATCTGAAGATGACAGTCAAAATTCAGTACCTTACAAAAACAGGCACTGCACACAGCTGTTGCCACAAGGTTTATAAACAAAGTGGTCAGTGCTCACAACATGCTAAAAGCGTAACACTTGCATTGCTGATTAGACAGAAAGAGAAAGTACCTTTGTTTGGGGAAGATATGGCTGGTTTTATTTTAGACTTCAGATTTATGTATTTGTTTTGCATTTGAAACTAAGGCCATCTACAACTTCATGCATTGAAGTATCATTATTGTGTATAGAGATGGTCATTTAAAAGTGACCTGACGTCCCTTCCCTATCAATTCCAGGATATACTTGCAAATGGTTAAGAGTTATGGCTGTATTTATGGAGAAGACAGATTTAAAGAGAATAAAACAATGATTTAGTTACTATTCCTAGATATCCACAGGCAAGACAAAAGCATTACCTAGGAAGGCATCCACTAAACAGCTGATCCCACGCATGGCACGAAAGAATATTTGAGGCAGATGTTTAAGGCAGGGGTACTGATTCAGTTCTTGAGTCATCCCACTCACATTCAGAAACTGCTCCTGAAATTTGGGGGTAGAGCTAATAATGGCTGGGTTACTCAAATCCACAGGATTACTGCACACAAAGAGAGCAAAATATATTATAGTCAGTTTAAGAACAGCTGTTAGGATTTTAAAAATACTGACAGATGCAGTAGTTTAAGGCATTTAAATAACACCACCACAAAACAGAATCCAATATTGGTATATTTTTAGCTGTTACTCCATCACAGGAAGACAATTTTAACTTCCTGGTTGTCTTCATTTCAAACATTACCCAAGCACACTGAATAATTTTATTAAGAGCCAATGAACCAGAGCATACACTTGATAGAATAATCCCACCTTTACAGTAATATTAATTACTTATGAGGTCTTCTGAACTCAGTTTAAGAGGTCCTTACATTGTTAGAATTATTCTCAAAACGTAAGCAATGAATTAAATATTGCCAGCAACCAGTGACAAGAAAAGGAGGGGGTTGTAAAAGTTTGAGCAATTTTTCCTGATATAAATCCTGTAACAGCAATTCCAGATTTGAAGAGTACAGTACTTGTGACATTACCATCACAAATGAAGAAAAAGAACAGATTTATTTTTTTAGTTAGTTAAGAACTTTTCTTAAGTTCTTTAAGAAAATTTCTTAAGAAATTTTCAACAGCCTGACATTTATTTAGCTTTAATTACTACATAACATTTATAGAAAAAGGTTATTGTTCTGGCCATTCAGAATATTGCCATGCCATTCCCAAGAATCTTTAAAACCAAGCGCGCTGCTTGGTTCCATTGTGTGTTTAAGGGAGAGTGACATGGATGTTAAAATTAGCTGTATAGCTTTCTTCATAGAAAAAAAGAAAGAGATACACCCATTTTAAAAATAATCTTTTGTAGGTTAAATTTAACACCCTGGAGAATAAATGGAAGCAGTATACATCTCTCAAAGCTATTGTTCTGCTTTTCCTGTTTGTTATCTCAGAGAAACAAAATTGTATTGAAGTCTTGTTTTTCAGATCCTGCAAAACACCAAATAGCTAAAAACTTTTTAATAAAATGAACCAGTTTACATTCTGAAAGAGTCAAAGAGTTCAGAGTTGAAGAACCCACTCGCAACCTTGCCCTGCACTGCTGCAGGGCACTGATACAACAAGTCTTGCATTTTATTCTATTTAGGTGCTTAATCTTAGCAATCTCCAAAGAAATTTTTCACTTGTCATGCAAATTTCTAGAAATGATGCAAGAATATGAACAATGGGATGGCTGTAATTACAATACCTCAGCATATGTAAAAAGCGAAACCAAGTTTGTGCAACGCACTCATTATCCATTTCAGGAGGAATCAGACCAGCATCTTCATCGGGAATTTTAAATGGAGGAAATGAAGGTCCATACGTAAAACGCAGCAATCTAGAAAGCAAGTCAGACAGATCTGTCACTCAGTTAATACTCAAAAATTTACCAGTGCCTTTGAGCCTCAAAGGTATCAGCAGTCCACAGGTGAGCCCACAAGCAACAACACAAGACCCAAGTTTTCCTAGAGACACCTATTTTATACCATCACTTAGCCCTCTGAAAGCTCTGAAGGGTACACGCCTTGGAGCGTGCCCACAGGTCCAACCAAATCAAAGAGCTGTTAAGGCGTAACGCCGCGCAGCAGCTCTCCCGTCTGTTTAGCCAGGGGGGTTACCAATTTACACAGATAACTGGCAAGGTGTTACATAAGAAGGGAGAGGGAAGGGAAAAAAAAGAAAAGAAAAGAAAAAAGGAATTTAAGCCCTTTATCCTCAAGGCTCTGTAGCTGAAGCGTCCAATGACACCAGCAAGTCACATTAGGTTACAGGTCTAAACTCCAAGTTGCTGATGACTTACAATTTACACCAGCACACTGAGCAACGCTCAATGCCATCCTACAAGCAGCCCAGGATTTGCAATCCACGGAGCAGCAAGCCCTTCAAAAAAGATGCACTACGTTTTGCAGAAGCTGGGAGTTGCAGAACAGTTATCAGTTATCGTGCCCTTATTTCTAAGCTAAGAGTTTCTTGTAATGGGCAAGAAATGTCCCATTCATCATTGCCCGCTTAAAGACATATAGTTTTACAGAGATAAACTCATTACAACTAGGACAAATGGGAGAGCAGAAGCCTAGGGCTGACTCCTAAACCAAGAGGTAAATAGGCTCAATCACCATCTCCGCTTCCCCCAGCACTGGGCACTGCAGTGACTTGCAGCCAGCTGATGCCAAAGACACTTGGAGCGCGTTTGGAATCGCAGGCTGTTGCAGTAACTGGCTTGGACAGAAAGGCAAGGGAGCTTCAGGACACGGGGCCTTCTTCAATCCAAACCAGAACACACACCCGTACCAGGCAGTAACTGGTTTCCAGTATGCCACGCCGATGCCCAGCACCCGCTCGCATTAGCGCCCCAGAGGCACCACCCCACAGCAGGATTTTGCTGAGGAGTTACCCAGCTCTGACTAACCAGGTGTCGTGGCTCAGCGCCACGCAGCCGCTCGCCCACTGCCCCTGCCCCGATGGGATGGGGGAGAGAATC